AACTATTTACACAACATGAGAGGAACAGATTTAGACCCTCTGGTATCCTAAAAGGGAGTGATGATAACATGACAAATTGACCCTATGCTCCCTTCTGACAACCAAATCTTGTGTGCTACATTTTAGTCTAAATCATCTTCCTTTGCCCTCTGACCCTGAAGCCTTTTCCATGGGACCTGAGCCATCCAGAGGCCAGCCAAAGGGAGGGAGAACCCAGACATGGACCATCCACAAAACAATGGCACCCTATTGGGCTGATCCCAGGCCTTCACAGCCCAGTGGGGGACAGGAAGACCCATCAGCAGGTTTCCCCATCTCCCTGCCCATCCACCCCAGCAGCCCCCCTCAACAATGCCATTCAAACTGATCCAGTGGTGTTTGCTTGAACTTTGATTCCCTTCCTTCCGTTGGTTTATTCATGCCATGACAGTGACAACAAACTATTTCTCAGTCAGTCCAGACAGATTTCCCTGATACTGGTCTGCAGTTGGGCTTGCCTGAATTGAGGCTCACTGTGTAAATGAGTGCATGACAAGGGAGACTGGGAGACTGGGACGCATACCTTACATCTGCACACTGTTCCAGAGTTACAGAATAACGCTGGGACCGAGATTTCTGCCAAGTGCACTCTAACCCTGCTGGGCTCAAAAATAACTGGAGAGCATGACTCTGAACACTGCTAAAAAGCACAATTTTTATCTTCCATATTGGGATTCCATTCAGGGGGCTCAGAAGAGCCCTCCACATCTCGTGTCTGTGACAGTTGAACCTATCCTGCTGCTGTGTCCAAGCCTGGCTCAAACAACCAGCTGTTTGGTAGGGACCCAAGATAAGGATGTGTCTCATATGCTTGACTAATTTGAACAGTATTCGAGGGAAATACCTCAAAACTCTCCTCTTTTTCCTCTGCCTCTTTATTTAACTTGCAGATAACAATTACATTCCTGCACATTCACCTCAAGGGGAAACCCATCTCATAGGCCTGCAGGGAAACTGGCACCATCCCTGTCTGACCCCAAGCTGCTCTGCACATCAGCAGCTGACCTATAGGGTGTTGCATGAAGGCAAGGAGGAGACTGGCTACAACACCACAAAGGAAAATTCACAGAGAGAGAATGTGTTCGTGTTTTTGAGACTGGGTGCAGCCATGGTTATCTTTACCATCCCTGCCAAAAAGGTGAGCTCAGTCACACTCCAGGGACTTCCCCCGCAATGTGTGTACATACATACACCCTGCCAGGCCCCACCTGCAACTCACCACCATCCAGTTGGCCAAAGTGGAAAATTCTCCCTGTTCACAGACACACTTAGGTGGATAGTGAAAGGAGAAGTAGCACCTTTCTTCACTAAAAACGCGGACTACTCTAAATACAAGGACATTTTACCTTCAAGACGTCACTAAAGTCAGTCCGGAAATTCATTCTAAAACTAAACAGCCGCAAAATGTTAATGCTGTCTGTGCATTTGCCTCCACAGAATTTTCAGTGGTCTAAGAGAGAGCATTAGGAAATACTTCCTAACAATATCTGCGCAATAAAGAAGTGCAGCTTATGTTTCTCTCAGTCCTGTTACAGTTCCATTATCATAACAGTTCATTCCAGCTGATTCATAGCCGCACAAACCGAGCACCCCCTGCCAAAGAGAGCCGAGTAGGGCGACATCCTGCGGACACAGCGAGGTCTCGCAGAAGATCAGATTACACGGCGTCAGGCAGCAGAAGCCGTAAAATACAGCACGAAGGCAAGCAGAGCTGTTTCCACCTTTCAAGGTACTTCTTAGTGTTGATGCGTATTGTGATAATTTTGTATGACGACAATGATGGTGATTTGAGCACGTTGTCTGTACACACTTTGTGGGTAAACCCGACTTGTAATAATTAATAAGCCGAATCATCTGGTAATTGAGATGTGGTTTATCTAAAATAACTTACATTGAACAAATGCAGCTAGAGACCAGTGTCCACACAAATATCTTTCAAGCTATGTACAATAAGGACGTATCCAATTATCTGCAACTATTTTCCATTTGACTGTCTAAAGCTATGGCTGGATAGCTAGCTAACTAGGCTCAACAGCAAAACACTAGACTGTTTCCACTTAATGTTATTTTTTCCTTGCTGTAGTCCAAGTATATTCTTTCTATGGTGTTAAAAAGAATTTCATGGATTGTTTCTAATTAAAAATGGCCGTCACCCAAAGGTGCCAAAGGTCCTTAGGAATGTTTGCTAGGCATCCTCGACAGGGGCACTAGGCTTTAACGATGTAGTAGGCTTCATGCAGGATTGTGTATCGAACGTTTCGCGAAAATCGATTCCTTCCCACATAGCAGCAGGTCAGCAGCTAGCTACGTCTTCCCTAACTGAAAATAGCGTACTTCGCTTTTAACCGGAATTCAAGAGAAAGCTTCCGTGTAGGAAAAGAATGAATGAGTTCTTAAAGAAGTAAGAATTAACGATACACAGTAAATTTAGTCATCACTTTACCATGCTAACCTCACTGTAGGCTATTTGACAGCGTATATGTCTGGGACTGTCGCTAAATTACAGACACGCCAATAAATAGCCAACTTGTAATTTTGTTGGGGGAGGGGATAATATCCTTTACAGTGTGAAACGGGGAGACTAATAGAGTAAGCGTTTGTAAATTTGGCGTCTCAAATGAAAAAGCGTGAGCATGATCATGAACTTACTCTGTTATCTCATCTTGTTCCTGCGCACTATAGAGATCTTGTAGCTACCGAAGTTATCATAGTAATTTCGTCAAAAAAGTCAGCGCTTCAGAGCCGATTCATTAAGCGGTAAACTATTCCGCTAATCAAGATTGAGACTTGACCCAAGTTACAGCTCAGTGGGCAGCCAACTCTCTTCCTCCATTCATTCATTCGGCTTTCTTAACTAGCTGTATACTTCTGTTTGACTTTACCTCTGCAAACAGTGGCGCCTTTTCCCTAAAACACATGAAACCATAGTGGAAAGCCATATATTCAATAAGAAAAACATGTGGAATTTTGCTGTGACACGCATCAACGCTACTCATCTGCAATGATAACAACAAACGGAACGTAATGATATAAAAGTCACCAAAGATAGTAACTCCCCTATCGATTAAAATGAGCTTGAGGATACAGCTCTTGTAGTTTCTACTCACCCCCCGACTCCAGCTGGTTTCACTTTGGAGTCCGGGGCATTATCCGGCTCCATCGCTGTTACTTCATTCTTTCTTGTGAATTTTTACTACAGTCCAGCCTTGACCAAATTACGCGCTGTCTTTCCATTCCAGCTGATTCCTACACTTTTAGCAACGACACAAAACTACAAAAATTGCTTAACAGAAGGCGTGTTTATTTTGCATTTTGTGCTCTGTTCTGTGAAGATGTGTTGGAAATCTGGTTGCATAGAGCTCCATCTGTGATTGAGCTATCCGCACGGAGGTTACAACTCGCAGAGAGAGGTCCACACTCCCACTCCCACTGTGTCCTGAAATGTATGAGTAAACCGTTATGGCGAGCGCAGTGTATTCCGCAGACGCATAGCTTGAAGCTCAATATTCAACACTGAAATGATTTTCCAGCTTGCCAAGAAATGGGGGATAGGGACACGGGAAGCACTTCTCTCTGTCGCCCTCAGCTGTCTTTAACAGAAATATATCTGCAACGGACATGAGCTCAAGTTAACGTTGACACAGAGCATGTTTGAAGCCGACAATTTACATTAGAAAGCGCGTGTATAACTCCAAGCCTGTCTAGAAATACGCCCCTGAATCAAAACTTGGAACACATTGCTCTGTCACGCCTTTATCTGCACACTGCACCTGTGCCAGCGGGGTACGAGGCCATTGAAAACGCCGGCTGTAGTATTAAATTAAACCCAAAAGCTTCAGTTCCTTAGGCTATCTTATATACGCCACATTACATTTCAGTGAACTAGCTACCTGCGTCTTCACCTGGCGCGAGACCCAATGCCATGACACAACACGCCCTTGAAACATCTCGGTTTGTCATGCATCTCCCACTACCTCTCTCCCATACCACAATGCAAAACATCAGCCACTGCAAAAGCAGCACTTACTTTGAGACGAGTTGAGAGGTTCTGCAATCTCTCCTTCGGGTCCCTAAATTCATTTGTATTCATTTGTCCCGGCAGTCAAAACCCTGATCCTTTAATCACAGCGTGACTCCTTAGCTAAGGGGCAGAAAGCACCAACTGCCTTCTTACGCATTGGATAAGCTTGTAACAATGGTCCAGAAGGAAGTTCTCCTATAGATTTGCCTAGAAAGCCCAACATAAATCCCTATATTTTGAAGGAGAGTTTGACGGGAAGTTTCCACGAGTGTTTTTCTTCTGATTTTCGCCTGTAATTTATTCATTTATGCCAATCCGGATTTGGGACGTTTGATTGCAGAAAGATTGGTTGCTGGGGGGTTTGGAAGCAGAAATCTCGAGTTGGAAGCGGAGGGCTCATCCTTTTCGCTTTTAAATACTTTTTTCAGTGGGTGACTGGGGCACAGATCCGCAACGCCAGGTGTCGGGTTACAGCAAACTGTGGTCCTAATAAGCAACCAGGGGGCAGGGCATAACCACCAGTCATACATACAGTAATGCATGACTCTGACCGCCTCAACGTTACCGTTCACCCCAATTCCCATTTCAAAACGGGAGCAACTTTACGAAAGAAGGAGCATGGGTATTATTTTACTTTTCTCCAGTGAGACCCAGCCTGCTCATCTGTGTTTGTTTCATTTTCGTTCACATTCCGATGTCGTGTAAATCAATTCTAAAGGGAAATGAACAATCAATGCCTTTAAAGGTTTGCAGCGGTACAGAAAGCAATATTAAATGGACTGCGTTTATATATTAAAAAAATAACTATTTATTCATTCGAGTACTCAAAGCGTAAAGATGTATTACATCTACCTACCAGTGGCAGAGGCTCTCATACAGGGTAGTAACTGGCCACTGGAAGCAATTGGGGATTTAGTGTCTTGCTTAAGGACACTTCTGACGAGAGAAGCCAGATTCGAACCAGAGACTTTCCGACCCTTAGTCGACTGCTCTACCTCGTAAGCCACGGTCGCCCCGATACTACCGCTTTATCTTTTTCGTGGTCGTAGTCATGTGGTATTGCACCAGCGAATGACGTATAAGAACGGTTTATGAAATATACTTTTACACAGAGAATGCCATTCACACGAACAGAGTAAGGGTTTCGGCACACTGGGAGCAGGAAAAGAAAAACTGAGATGAGAGATTGTTTTCCAGCTGTAATCCCCACTTGTGGAACAACCAGTTATAATTTAAATAAGTGAATGAAGTGGAACTGACTGTAGACCCAATGGTACTTTTTCATTTGGAAGTCTGGCAATTCTACTCTTCAGCTGATAAAGTCTTTTTATTGCCTGAGACCTGCGTGATATGCTGTAGTGTGTATATCTGTGGAATTTACATGTATGTACAAGTTTGCCTTAGGTGCCATGAATGAACAGGGGGCCTCCTCACTCAGCTCTATACCCACAGGTTGTGGTTCCCATTCATGAATCAAAAGCTCCCCTTTCATGTTAGCTGTCTCTGTCAACATTAGTTTAACCCCTTACCCTTGAACAGTGTTAATTGAGGTGCTTTCAGTTGCTCTGAAAGATAGCCACACCTGGAGTAAGCCCCATTAACCTCTCCTGAGGTCACTCCACTGTCCGGACCAGATCTACCGATGGCTTCTCCAATTCTGAACCAGTTAGATGTGTAATTATAATTTTGACATCTGTTGGTGCTTTTGCAAGAAATCACCCAAGTTGTGGAATGCCACACTTAAACATGTTGTTTTGTTGTTGTCTCTGTTTTGACATGTGGTATTCAACTGTGAAAGCGTGTCCTGTGGTCACATCCAAGACCTTTGGCTTTGCGTCCAACTGCAAAATCAGTCTTCCGCTGTCACTGTGACAGACAGTGGCACTTTGAAGTGCTGCTGGTGCTGATAGTGGCCAGGCAACATGTTTATAACAAAAGGTAGGGGTGCTCTGTCATGTTGAATGATTTCAACCGTACTGAAGTCAGGTTGCAGCCAAGGACTCTGCATCATATCAGCAAAGCTTTCAACATGATTAATTTCAACCGTTTTCCTTGCAACATTAATATATAATATAATGAGTATATATACACAGGCAGATCTGTATATGCATGTATACATGTGGGTGCTGATAGAAAACAAAGAAACATCAATTGTATGTTGACAAGAGTATGAAACACTAAAGTTGTGTAGTAATTCTTAAGGGCATCTAGGTTTGTTATGTGAGAGTTAACACCCAAGGAAAGTTTGTCTGGATGTACTTAGCATTTCATAAATCAACCTTGAAAGACTCACTTACCTTGTACTTTTGCAATGTCCAACTAAGTACTTTCTCTGAGGGTTCATTTTGCAATACTTCTTCCCTCATGAATATACCAGTTTCTTCTTTGATGATGCATTGTAAAATGGGCCTTTCAGACGTTATGACTGGTGGCTGTGACAAAAACAGGGTCAAATTGTTTTGATTTCATCAAAAATGTCCAGTTTTACCATCTTGTCAGGCGCAGCCATATCCTTTGACAAACGAGGATCAAATTCAGTACAGGTACATTTAAGACATACCATTTGGAACGAGGAAAGAAAGGATTGCTCTCAAAGCCAGCACCAATAGCTGATGGGTTATCGGTGCCTTCTTGTGAGACATTGGCAGGGAGGCTTGAGCGGAGTGCTGCTAATTTGTGCTGCCGTCCATTAGCATCCCCTCTGCGTAGTCCCTTGTGTTTAAGGGCTTGGCCCAGCGTCCCTCCCATGTATTTTAGATGCACTTTATTTTCCCCTTGAAATTACAGCTCAGTCTTGCATGCTGCCACCAATAGTGGTTTAATTATGGTCATTCACACCGGTCACAATGTACACTTTATCCCGTCTCTCCAGAAATAGGCCCTTTAAGGACTGAGCCAACCCAGATCAAACGTGTCCAGAAGAAGGTAGTAATTAAAGCGGGGCTGGCAGGCCACGCCTCTAAGGGTTCTGCATCATCAAGGTTTCCTGTAGTAACCCCTGTCACTACACAAAAGTCAGTTATTTAATGTGCAGAGAATTACAGAAGAGCTTGTTTCACGGCAGCATATATTATGGAAATGCAGTAATGTACTGCTGAACTTCATGTTAGGCTAATGCCCCTTATATATGAAAGATACTGTTTAGTACATTCAGTGTAATATTTTTTAGTTGGTTAAGTTTGCCCATAATCTACATAAAAATCCTCCTCATAATTCCACTTGCTGCATGTTAGGTGTCACCGATCCTTGGCTTTTCATTGCTATCAGGACGTACAAGTAGTGGTTGTGACGCACTGGAAAATTCACAACAAAATGGGAATATTACCAGGAATTTTCCAAACATAATAAAATATTGATTTGCATGGCAATGAAACTTATTCCACAGTGTAATAGACTATGAATTTGGAAAAATGTTGTCAAAACACGGGTATCTATCAATGCTAATGGTCCTGTTTATCTCTCCATCGTTTAGCTGATGAATCAGTCTGAGTGCTTTCATATTGCCTAGGCAGAGTTTTTCTGCCCTTAGAATGAACAGACACAACAACTATCATCTAGTTGTGGTTGTAGTATAAATGCCACTAAACTGACCTTTAAAAAGATTGAGGATTTAAAGACACAACTTGGGACCTTTGACACATCAATGGAACCCCCCCTTTACCATCTGCAAAAAAAAAACAAAAACAAAAAAACATACTGGTATACATCTCCTATAGTATCTGGTTGTGGTATCGGGTTATAAAAAATTGCAGAGTAGAATTCTGAATATGGACAAATGAACAGGGTTGGGGAGTAACGGAATACATGTAACGGCGTTATGTATTTAAAATACAAAATATGAGTAACTGTATTCCGTTACAGTTACCATATAAATTCATGGTAATCAAATTACAGTTACATTTAAAATTTTCCATTTAATTTCTTTTTTTTTTCATTTAATGTTTATTCAGTTGGGAAATCTATCCAATAATAGGCATCTCCGGGGTGTATCTCCCATATGCCCCTCACGAAAAAAAAAGAAAAAAGCGCGCAGCCTGCCTGACTCACAAGACAGTAGAATGAAGGATGAGACAGAAAGCAATCAGCGCAACGCGTTTATGTCATGGAAATACCGGGACCATTTTACTTTCAAATTTTGTAACGGTCACAGTACAATGCAAGCTGTGTTTGCCAGCAACCAAACTGCTATCCGCTTTAAAAGAGTCGACCTCTAATCTGAAGAAGCATCTTGAAGTAAGTTCTCTTTTTCATTATTTAAGATAATATTGATCGCTACCTAGCTATCTTACATAGTTTGGCTTCACTGGGTTAGCTATTCAGATAGCTAGTAGGATAGTAGGTATAGTACCCTATTAAAGCCAACTAGCTAACGAGTAGATACAGTGACAAAACGTGACATTTCACATGTTCAAAACTGCGATTACTCCAACAATTTTACACTGTGCATATTGTACATTAAATTGTTAAGCTACTCCTTTCTCACCCACAATGTATTTAGGGTGGCTCGTGCCTTTTCTAACTCATGTTTTCGTGCAATGTCCAGTTTTTGAATTAACATTTACAATTCTGAAGAACCTGAGATGAAATTTCCATAGACTTAACATGGGGGTGCCAAAATGTTAGCCACAACAATGCTAAGTGAGGCTGTGTTCACATGTAGCGTGTTTTTTGAAGCTGTTAGCGTCTGTTTTACATAATAATCCTATGAAGTAGACCGTGTTTTCAAAAACGTACTGAGTAGTGATGTGCAGTTCGTGAACGAACGAATCCTTTTGAACGAATCTTTGAGGTGAACTGAGTGTACTGAATCCCTAGTTTAAGGGTGTACTCACACTAGGCAATCCATACCGTGCCCTAGCACGTTTGACCCCCAAAGTCTAGTTCGTTTGGCTAGTGTGATCGCTCCGTACCGTGCCCGGGCGTACTGGCTACCTCCAAAATGATCTTTGATTGGTTAGTTCTGTAGATCTATACCTAAAAATAACTCTGGATCCCCACATTAGCTTGATTACAAGCAAGCGAAATAAAACTAACCATACTTTACGTGATGATGTAGGCATCGCTGTTGTCAGGGGCTTAGTCAGAGTATCCCAAATGAAGCAGCCAACCTGTTTAAGTAGCTAGTCTTCAACAATCGTTCAGATAGGTAGCCTGTTAGCTAACTAGCTATGTTTGTCAAATCTATCGCTCCCCAGCCAGACAGTTAGCATCGATTATGCAACGCAGCGATTTTCAGTTAATCGTGCTGCACGTATATTAAGATTTTTACGGAGGCAGCTGATGTTGAGGGAGGAATTTGGAGCTTTACTCGCCGACAACAATTCATGTTTATCAATAAGGTGAGAACCAGACCTGTTATTAACCCAAATATTCTCGAATGAATTGAAAAGTGTACTATCCAAGTAGTGATAGGAGATGTTTCTTGTAATGATGACAGTAGCGCACACACAATTAGTAGCCCTAACTGGTTAACATTAGCTAACACTATTGTGATTAGAATACTGTAATCTGACACAGAAATGACACAAAATATTGGTCTGTCCCTTGGCATAATGACTGAAACGTCAGCTGCCTCCGTAAAAATCTTCTTATCCGTGCAGCACGATTACCTGAAAATCTCTGCGTTGCATAAAAGACAAATCTATGAGGCATTTCAGAGTGCGTGTGTCATCGCACCCAAAGCGACTCCAAATATGCCACAAAGCGAGTATAATCATGAAATCCATTATGCTGTGCGATAGTGCTTATCCTGAACACAAAGAGTCGCCTCGTGATGAGGCAGGCGTGCTCGGGCCCGGAACGTAAAAGCGCAATGTGAGCGCAGGCCAGCGGGGGAGTGGGGAGGGCGGACAATCGTGCTTGGGCACGGTACGAGGCATCCGGGCCTAGTGTTAGTACACCCTAAAAGATTCGTTCCTCCTGCAAAAGATCCGGTGACTACGAAGACTCTAAACTCCACCTACTGACCTGATGAACTGTTGACAAGGTCCTCAGTAGTGGTGGTAAACTCGGC